TAAAATATACACACACAGAAACACACTCTCCTCTCTCCAATCCACACACATGTACACACAGAACACACCTCCTTTTCACCTATCCAACACTTAGAATGTACACACAAAACAATAGCTCTTTTTCCCCAATCCTGTAACAAACAAGTTAAATACCACAGCAACACACCTTTTCACCCATCCAACACATTAATGTGCACACACACAACAACACAACTCCTACCCATCCAACAGACATTGTGCACACACAACACACTCTCCTTCTCACCTATCCAGTAATACACGTACACACATAAAAACAGCACTCCTCCTTCCCTATCCAATACACACATACACTCTCACAAATAACCACACCTCCTTCCCTATGCAGTACACACTTAAAAACACAATAAATACACCTCCTTTCACCTATCCCACAAAGCCATGTGCACCCACAACAAGACAACTCCTCTTCCTGTACTCCAGCACACACACGTACACACAAAACAACACCTCCTTTTTACCTATCCCACTCTCACAATGAACACACAAAAACACACCTCCTTCCCCAATCCAACAAACACTGTTCACACACAACTACACACCTCTCTTCTACCTAATCAAGCACAAATGTACACTAAGTAAATACACCTCCTTCCCCATCCAACAAATACGTATACACAAAACTCCACCTCCTTCCCCCCTCTATCCAATACACACGTGATGATGTATACACACAACAATACACAATTCCTCTTCCTATCCAAGACAACTTATGCATATGTACATGAAGAAATACACCTCCTTCCCCTCTATCCAACACACACGTGTACACACACAGTAGCTCACCTTTTTCCCCATCCAACACACACGTACACACACAGAATAAGACACTCTCTCTTCCCTATCCAACACATACAATGTGCAGGTAGAATAACACACCCTCCTTTTCACCCTCCAGCACACACACGTACACACACAGCAAACACACCTTCTTCCCTCATCTAACACATATGTATGCACAGTAACACACCTCTTTTCACCATCCTACATATCGTACACACAGAAGAACAACTCCTCTTTCCCTATACAACACAATAACGTACACTCTTAGAACACACATCCTATCCCCTATCCAACCACATAATGTACACACACAGTAACATACACCTCTATTCCCTATCCAACACATAATGTACACACCCCTCCCTTTCCCTCATCATGAAAATGCACACACACACACACAAGAACGAACCTCCTTCCCCTAATCCAATACACACGTACACACCCAGCAACACACACCCCTCCTTTCCCCATCCAACACACACACGTACACACATGAACACACCTCCTTTCACACATCCAACACACACGTACCTACAGAACAACACACATCCTTTTCCTAATTCAACAAAACACAGCACACAACAACATAACACACCCTCCTTCCCCTTTGCAGCACACACGTACACACACAGTAAACACACAATTCCCTTCCCCTCAAGCACACACACGTACTCACACAGCAACATACCTCCTTCCCCCATCCATCACACATATACACACACAACAACACACACTCTCCTCCCCTATCCACACACATGTACGCACACGTGCAGAAAGACCTCCTTCCCCATCTTAACATACACACGTGCACACAAAACAACACATGCACATCCCTACCCCAATCCAATACACACGTACACTCTATCAGGACCTTCTCCCCCATCCAACACATACGTACACACACAAGAGCTTTATTCCACTGCCTTCACCAACCCAACACACACGCACGCGCACAACAACACATCTCTTTTCCCCATCAAACACCCAACGTACACACACAACAGTACATGCACTCCTCCTTTCCCCTATCCAAGGCCCACGTGCACACACACAACAACATACATTCTACTCCTATCCAACATAAACGTACACACACACAACAACACATCTTGCTTCCCCTATACAACACACACGTACACACACAGCAACACACCTCCTTTCCCCAATCCAACACACACGCACACACACAGCAACATACCCTCCTTCACTCCATCCTAGACACATGTACACAGACAACAGCATATGCACTCCTCCCTACCCATCCAACGCCCACACATACACAAATAACACACCTTGATCCCTATCCAACACACACGCGTACAACCACACACAACAACACACCTCCTTTCCCTATCCAACGCAAACGTACAAACACAACAACAACTCACTTCCTTTCCCCCATCCAACACACGTGTCACAATGTCATATACACATGTTGAAAACTTTCTCATTCAGCCAACTAGTAACGTAATGCACTCAGCTTTACACCCCTCTTTTTCCACATAAAACACACACACGTACACACACAACAGCACATGTAACATCATTCACTCCATCCAACACACACGCACACACACTACAAATACAATCTTCATGCCCCCATCCAACACACACGTACTCCACACAACAACACACCTCCTTCCCCCATCCAACACACACTTACACACACAGAGCTTCAACACACCTCCTTCTTCCCCTAATCCAACGCAAACGTACACACAGAACAAGTTAAAAAAGCTGTTCCTTTCACCCATCCAACACACAAGCGCACATACAATAGCATACCTTTCTTTTCCCTAATCCAAACTGACGGGTATACACACAAAAGATACCTCCTCCTTCTTAGTAGTCAACACACATGTTCACACACAAGGGAACATGCTCCTCCTTCACCCATCCAAACACACACATACACACAGAACAAATAAAAGTAGCTCCTTTTTCACTCCATCCATGTACACACGTACACACACAACACACTTCCCTTCCCCTGATCCAACACACACGTACACACAAAAAACAGCACATGCACCTCTATTCACACACACAACACACACGCAAACACACAACACACCTCCTTCCCCATTGAACACACACGTACACACAAATAAAAGTAGCTCTATTCACCCATCCAACACACACACACACACACACACACAACACACCTCGATCCTCTATCCAACACACGCGTACACACGCACAACAACACACCTCCTTCTTCCCTATCCAACACACGTCACCTTCTCTATACACTTTTGAAAACTTCTCCTTCAGCCAACCAGTAACGTAATGTACACAGCTTTACACCCTTTCCCTCTATAAAACACACACGTACACACACAACAGCACATGTATCGTCCTTTCACCAATCCAACACACATGCACACACACTACAACACATCTCCTCTTTCCCCCTATCCAACACAAACTTACACACACAGTGATCAACACACTCCTCCTTCCCCATCCAACGTAAACGTACACACAGAACAACAAAAGCAGTTCCTTCCAACCATCCAACACACTCCTGTACACACACAACACACCTCCTTCCCCTGATCCAACACACACACGTACACATACAACAGCACATGTACTCTTATTCACACATCCAACACACAATGTACACAAACAACACACCTCCTTCCCCATTCAACACACACGTACACACAACAAAAGCAGCTCTATTCATCCATCCAACACACACACACACACACACACACACACACAACACACCCTGGTCCCCTATCCAACACACGCGTACACACGCACAGCAAGACACCTCCTTACTTCTATCCAACACAAACTTACACACACAGTGATCATCACACCTCCTCCCCCATCCAGCGCAAACGTACAAACACAACAACTCACTTCCTTCCCCATCCAACACACGTCACGTTCATACACATGTTGAAAACTTCTCCTTCAGCCAACTAGTAACGTACGCACTCAGCTTTACACCCCCTTTCCACATAAAACACACACGTACACACAACAGCACATGCACGCCCTTTCACCCATCCAACACACACGTACCCACACAACAACACACCTCCTTCCCCCATCCAATGACACTTACACACACAGAGCTCAACACACCTCCTTCCCTCTCCAACGCAAACGTACACACAGAACAACAAAAGCAGTTCCTTCACCCATCCACACACACGCGCACATACAATAGTATACCTCCTTCCCCGATCCAACCGACGGGTATATATAAACACACACACACACGTCCTTCCTTTATCCAACACACACGCACACATACAATAATATACCTCCTTCCCCTGATCCAACTCGACGGGTATACACAAAAAATATACCTCCTTCCCACATCCAACACACACGTTCGCACACAAGGGCACATGCACTGCCTTCCCTATCCAACACACACGCATACACACAACACACCTCCTTCCCCAATCGAAACACAGACGTACACACACAAGAGTTCAGTCACCTCCTTCACTAATCCAACACACAATGCACACGCAGAACAACACATCTCTTTTTCCAGATCAAACACACACGTACACACACAACAGCACATGCACCTCCTTCCCTATCCAAAAGACACGAACACACACAGGAACACACCTCCTTCCTCCATCCAACACAAACGTACACACACAGCAACACACCTCCTTCATCCATCCAAACACACACGTACACACTCAGCAGCACATGCACTTCCTTCCCCATGCAACACACACACACGTAAACACACAACAACACATGCACCTCCCTCCCCCATCAAAGACACACGAACACACGCATCAACACACCTCCTTCCACCAATCCCCACACACGTACACACTCAAAAACACACCTGCTTCCCCTATCCAACACACACACATGTGCACACACAACAACACACCTACTTTTCCCTCCAGCACGCTCTCGTACACACAAAGGAACACACCTCCGTCACCCATCCAACACACACACGTGCACACACAAAACCCAGCTCCTTCCCCTATCCATGCACGTACACACACAATAATACACTTCCTTCCCCATCCAAAACACACGTACACACAGAACAAGACACAACTTTCCCCATCCAACCCAGACGTACACACACAACAACAACACACATCCTTCCCGATCAAACACACACGTACACAAACAAAAACACATGTCCTTACCTGATCGAACGCACACGTACACACACGAAAACACACCTCCTTCCCCATCCAACACACACTTACACACACAACAGCACACCTCCTTTAACCATGAAACACACACGTACACACAGAACAACAAAAGCAGCTCCTTCACCCATCCAACCGACAGGTATACACACAAAATATACCTACTTCCCACATCCAACACACACGTTCACACACAAGAGCACATGCACCTCCTCTTCACCCATCCAACACACACGCACACACACAAAGACACATGCAGGTCCTTTACCCATCCAACACAAACGCACACACACAACAATACACCTCCTTCCCCCGCTCAAACACACACGTACACACACAACACACACCTCCTTTCCTGACTCAACCCACACTTACATACACAAAAAAGAGAACTCCTTCCTCCATCCAACACACACGTAAACACAACAGAACATGCACCTCCTTTCCCCATTCGACAGACACGTACGCACAACAACACACACCTCCTTCCCCCATCCAACACACACGTACACACTCAACAGTACATGAACCTCCTTCACCCATCCAAGACACAGGCACATACACAAAACACACCTCCTTCCCCATTCAACACACACTTACACACACAATAACACACCTCCCAAGTTTTAGTCACATGATAATATATATTATGTGTCAGCTGGTAAAAGCGTTCGATTTTGCCATTTGATGGGGAGACTGTCTATGCGACTTTCCGTTTAAACTCGCCAACGTGGTTTTAGTGGTTAGAGCGTCCGCCCGGAGAGCGGAAGGTCCTGGTTCGATCCCCGATCGAGTCATACCAAAAGACGTTGAAATATGGTACTTGTTGGCCCCTGCCTGGCGCTCGGCATTAATGGGTACAACAAGGACTGGTCGGCTCGGAGTCAGTATAAAGTGTCTGAGTGCTTCACTGAGGCATGATATCTCAGGGAGCTAGCACTATAAATTTCACCTCACCTCACCTTAAACTCACTCCAGTAAAATGATCAAAGAGAAAAAACAAAATAAATGAATTCGTAGAAGATCTAACAAGATGAATAATATCGATATTTATGGACTTTTGTAGTGCTTAGTAAGGGCAGTAATGATAGCATGCTTGGTATAGAAAGTTCAACCCAACAACGATTATAACAAGCCTCGTATTTCCGTCACGTTCCGCCAGTCACAAATAAGATTAAAGAACAAAGAACTGCTCGCTGGCCACTGCCGCGAAACTGCATCTATCTGTCAAGTTACGTCATGTAGTGACGTCATATATATCGAGCACTGGGCCATAACAGGCCAGGTTTTCGGAGAGGCAGAAGTGCGGGGAATGTGAATCTTGGTTGAGATGTAATGTCAGGGTAAGTGAACTGAAAATGTGGAGGCAGTCATCATAAACATGGGTTATTGTTTCGTGTGTATGTCGCCATATCTGTTAAGTTTCATCAAAATTTATAAGATGTTATTTCAACACGTGTAAATACTACGGCAAATATGTATGTTTACCACCCTGGCTGTCGAGGCTATTTTTCTGAGGCACATTTGTCGTCTACTAAAATGTGAACGTTGTGCAGGAATTCAAGTCGCGAAGCACTGGGTCTGCATGTAGATGTGGGTTGTGCAGAGATGGAGACAAATCCTGTCTTGGAGCTAGATTAATGCATTTTGTGTTGATCTTTTCATTACTTTCACAATGTGAACTTGTATGTGTTCCCTTCAGACTGTAGTTTAGTCAAGCCAAACGACACAGAAGAATTCACGAATATAGAGTAATGGGGAACATACAGAAAATTACAATATATGTTGGCAGCTTCATGTCCTTAGTTCAGTATTTAATTATTTTGTTTCAGTTTCATTTATCTGCTGTCAATGTCTATTTCAAACATTTAATTTGGTATAATGAAATTAAATGGAATACTTCACTTGAAATAAACCATCGCGTTGTTGTCCTTAAGAGAACATGGTTATACTAAGGTCGAAAACAATATGAAAAAAGGCGCATTGCATACACTCCCCAAAAATATATTTTGGGCAAAGCTCTACTTCTAAAATGCGAAATACGGTGAGACGGCGATATCTGGTGTTAAATTGATTTTAAGTAGTAAAATCTTAAGTATGTTTTAATTGAAACACATTTCTTGAGATTTGTATGTATGTTGTATTTTTGTAAGTTTCACTTTTGATCAATGTAATGATTAAATCTACAACTGGCATGTACTGTAATAACACTAGTTTCTTCTTTTATCTACGCAAGTTACTTTGAAATTCTAAAACAGCCTATTCTTTACTTATGCGCCTTTGAAACATAACTATTAAAAATTCTTGTTAATTCATGAAAATTAATCAGGTTTCAAGTTCTTAATTAGACTTTAACCATTAACAACAGATCGTAACACCCGAAGAACAAATGAGTGGTCAGTGACACGATGCTTTGATTGTTGGACATCTACATTTCAAACAAGGGCGCTTACTTGACTTGACTAACCACATGAATAGCGAATGCCGGCACTTATACTGATGGCTTACCTTTGGATTTGTTGATAAAACGTGATATTGGAACGACAATCGACCCCAGTTGAATGTTATACAATTTGGTTACACTGTATGTAGAAATACGGACGTTGTGACAGTCTTTATACAATGTATACGTTTTTAAACCGCGACGTAATCACAGCACGGCACTAAGCTACCGGTAAACAAACCAGCTGATAGACCATGCGGGTTAAAGGAAGGCATTGAAAAAGGCAGAGGGACCATGGGCCATTTGCACATATAATACACAAAGGCCCATTAAAATTTGGAAGTTTACTATTGATACAAGGGCAGTGGCCCATTCTAAATTCAGAAAATGGCTAATAATCCTGAAAATGGCCGACTGTCAAAGTTCTCTATCCCAATCCCTGTAAACGTGACGGTAAACTTTGGTGCACTTGCAGTACTGAATGAGACCGTTGTATCTACAGGGGAGACCTGTTTCTCTCTTCTGTTAGAAAGCTACAAGTGAGTGAGAGAAGAAAAACAACACATTATTAACTTCTTAAACCTTTCGTTTCAATGCAATTATATATTATCACCAACATGTTCCATGTTATATTAGTTAAAATTAGTCGTTGAACTATCCATATATTTTACACAAGGACTGTATGTATTGATAGCTGTCAATAGGGCAGATGGAACATATTGTTACCATTCTCTGTTAGAATGTAGATTACATGAAGTCTAAGCTTCTAAGTATCATATTCTCTCCTCCAGTGTCTGGTGACTTGAAGACAGGGTCTATCAACAAGCCGGAGATGAAGCTGAACAACATGGAGGTAAAACTTGGAGACTGTCTGAACATTGTGTTTGGTACAGTATAGTATATTTGGTTGGTGATAAAATAGAGTATTAGATACAGACCCAACTTTACTGGCTCTTGGGGTAACTTAAATATTAGAAAACTAGCTCAGACTAATGAACAAACTTGTACCTGATTGTTATTGTTATAGAAATAATCACATGAATGTACTGCGTAGATCTGGTACTTAAAACCATGTGAATATATTGTATAGACATTGTACTAAAACCTGAATATTTGATGTATAGATCTAGTATTATAGACCAACTGGATATTCATGCATTGACCTAATACTAAATCAATTGAATATAGTGTATGTAGTAAATATAATGTTGATATAATGTAGATCATATAAAATGTAGAACTCGTTTGTCATTTTGAAACCTAACTGTTTTCCATGTCAAGGAATTGAGACCAGTAGGCAGGACTGTGGTACTGGAATGTCACGCCAGAATGTGAAATGTGTTTTCATTCACTCGATAAGCACTGTTCCAGACTTTACAAAATGTACAAAATTGAAACCTGACATTCGATCCACATATATTAGATACAATGTACAAGTATTTGCTGTATTGTATTGATAGACAGTAACATTACGTGTACAATGTACAAGCATTTGCTGTATTGTACTGATAGACAGTGACATCACGTGTACAATGTACAAGTTTCTGTTACAGTGACACAGAAAGACTCCAACTCCCGCCATGTCGCCGCCCTCCTTGCTGCCTGCCGTGATGGGGAACATGGCCGAGGTGAAGCGTGTCCTGGATCTGGGACAGGTGGACATCAATTGTAGAGGAGAGTGGAGCGGAGACACCGGTGATGATGGCAGCAGTGAGGGGACACAGAGATGTGTGGTGGAGCTCCCTAATGAGTAGAGGAGGCTTATGTGTCACTGGTGGACGGGGACGGTAACAACACCCTTCACTGGGCCTGTAGTGGAGGAGACGTGGGGGACGGTGGAGTTGATACTGTCCCAGGACGTGGTGGACGTCAACGCCAGGAACAACTACGGGCAGACAGCGGCCGACTGGGCGATATACGAGGGATTTCATCAACTGGTGGATCTCCTGGCGTCACGTGCTGCTGCTCGGTGAAGTCGTGTGGTGTTGGTATAGACAGTAATCGATGCTGTTACTGATACTGACGTCGTCGTGTTTATATTTTTGGGACGAAGGTTAGAATGATTGTTGTGTTTGAGGAGAAATAAAACTTGTTGAAAACATTTTCAGACATTTTGTCATTTGTTTTGTGTGGATGTTTTTCATGATCAGGTAAGAAGATTGTTGACTGAGTGTAAATACAGATATTGTGAGGTTAGTATATAAACACCACATCTCGTAGCATATTTCTGTATTTATTTAATGGCAAATAAGTTTAAAATTATTCGTGAACTATGCAACAATTTGTTTGTTTATATGTCGGTGCACTCTGTGACCTCAGACGGAGCCGATGTTCTCCCGGCTGATGTGGCGCTAAATGTACAATGACAGTGACGTCACACTGCTGATGACGTCACGCCACTGCAGTCACGGCCGTACACCAATGCGTTGTTTCTCCACACAAAATGCGATATCGGCGGCACAATGCTGTCGTTACGACAGAAGTATGCATACGCCAGTACAATGCTGGTAGCACATGGCCGATGTTAGTTTCAGAAAAGCACGTGTTTCCATATAGATTCACTTTTAAGTGCAAAATACTGCTGCTGAAATATAACACGGAGCAGGAGTAGCGCTTCCACGCTCTCACAATCCCCAGTAAAACCTCCCTAAGCAGTTTTGTGAAATTAATGCAATGTAATTGTAGAGGCCTTAGGAACAGTTTTAACGATCTACAATTAGTATCACAAGATTTTTTACACATCGGCTTTTAGCCTACAACAGTCATAACTGAAAAGTACAGATAAATTTGAAATGCGTCGGTCCGATCCATTTCATTCATTCTCCCCTCCAGGGTATAAAGCCACTGGCGGTGCTTCTATTCTCGTGAGGCAGGGTGTTATCCATAGCCCGGTTCCCTTTAGAAGCAATCTTCAAGCTGTTGTTGTCCGTGTTTCTTTACAGATAACCCTTTACGCTTTGGTATTTGTATTTTGTAGCATGTGGCCGATGTAGTTTCAAAGACATGCACATCTTTCCTTGTGGAGTCTTTAATGATTAAAATACTGCCGGTGAAATTCAACCTTCCTACAACCTGGCTATGGGGTGGCTCTGCATTGTTTCGTCCAGTACCGCTCTGTGTTGACGTGGCGGTCCCCAACATGTACACGTATATAAAGTGTTATAACGTTCTCATTTCTGTAAACAGTGTAACACTCAGTTTGGAGCTGATTATCTTGATCAAAGACGAATAAT